GAGTTCAGGGTCAGGGCCTAGGGGTAAGAAAGCCTTTTCCCAAGAGCATAGCCCCCCTAAGTTGCCCGACTTCGATCCCCAGTGTACAGCGCTGATCGACCCTGTCAAGCTTGCCTCACGTACGGTTGATGCTTTTTATAATTCGGGGTCCTCCCTTTCCTGGTTTGCTAGGCTCTCCCTTAGTAAGCCCGCCTGTAACGTAGAGGTTAGTGATGTGAGTCCTGACCTATGGCCAGTCCCCCCACCTCGGTGGCGATGGACGGCATGCACGCGTGGAGGTGCCGGAAAAGGCGTTTGGATGTTCAAAATCGGTTGCTCCAACTCACAGTCCGCGCCTTAAACTGGGAATGCCTAGGGTACCCTAAGGACCCCCCTAGCCATGCCCGCGTTGGCGCCCCGACGACCCAAGCTCAGCAACGTGTCCTTGACCTCCTCGAGGCGCAGATTGCTCATTTCCTCAGTGCGTCGCCGTTTGTGGCTGATGACTTGGGACGCTCCGCTGACAAGTTTAACTCACTTACCCAGATGCTTCAGGAACTACCCTTTGACAAGCTTAGGGGTCAGGACCTTAGTGATTGGGTTTCGGTGTTGCGTGCATCCTTCGATCCGTATGGGAAGTCGGGGTCTGTACCAGAGCGTCCCAGCCATGCTTCCTGTCAGCCAGAGAACGGCTCAGAGCCGCAGTTTATCAACTTTCGGAGCTCGACAGCATTGCCGGTGGTTGCTGATAGGATTAAATGGCGGTACGCCCCCTCCTTTGACCCAAGGCCTTTCCTTGAACCCCTCCTAAGTAGTGCATATGAAGAACCGGCAGTGCTTCGAAAAGCTAAAAGCCAGTGGCCTTTCAGGTCAGCAGCCAAAGTGCGCTGCTCTCGCCAGGAGCTTTTGCGTATGGCTTCCAAGTGGGATAGTTTGAATGCTGTTCGGGTTACTCCTGCTACCGCGTTGCCTTGGGATGAGTGTGTTGGCTTGTTCAGTGTCAGCAAGAGCGCAGCCCATGATAGGTTGATTATAAATCCCACGGTTGCAAACTCTAGGTCACACACCATAACCCATTATTCCCGCACCCTTGCACCTGGCTCACTTTTGACGCTGCTCAGGCTTGAACCCGGCATGTCCTTCAGGTATGCTGCCGACGATTTAAGCGACTACTATTATACCTTTAAGATAAGCCCGAGCCGAGCAGTTCGAAATTCGATCCGTTGCCGATTTCAGCCAGCTGAGCTGGCCCATCTCGAGTGCGCATCCGGTGCCGGCATGGAAGGTCCTCAACTCCTTTCTTTAAATACCCTAGCTATGGGAGACTCCTTAGCTGTGGAGGTCGGTCAAGCAGCTCACTATGGTGTTCTTCGGGATCTTGCCGGTGCACTTCTACCTAGCGAGGTTTTGTTGTATCGGCAGCCTGTACCTAGGACTGACTGTGTGGAGCTGCTTGCCATCGACGACCACATATGCATTCAGAAAGTTAGGAGTGTTGACCTCAGCAAGCAGCTGCCAGCACGGGATACCCAGGTCATGGACAATGCCTCCCGGGCATATCGCCAAGTCGGCCTTGTGCTCAACAGTGACAAGAAACGGCGCTTCAAAACATCGGGTGTGCTGTTAGGTGCCGAGCTTGACGGGGTAAAGGGGATTGTCAGTCCTCCTCGCATTCGGGTTTGGTCACTAGCTGTTCTGACTGCAGTTGTTGCTGAACGGGGCACGGCCACTCGGGAACTCTTGGAGCGCCTGCTTGGTTGTTGGGTTCATTTTCTCATTCTCTCATGTTTAGGCGGCCGATCTTTGCAGTAGTGGATGCCTTGTTTCGTGAGGGTCAGGGCTTGCCAGGACATCAGTTGTTCACATTGTCAAACCAGTCTCGGAACGAGTTGCTGATGCTTTGCAGCCTGTGCACATGTTTGCAGACTGACTTGAGAGCTGAGTACGACCCTTCCTTGTATTGCATGGATGCTTCTCCCCATGGCGGTGCCGTGTGCTCGGCTCAGATTGGCAAAGTCGCTTCTTTTGAGTTGTGGAGACACGGGGAGTTGCGGGGGTACCACACACGTTTGCAGTCAGAAGTTTCCAGCATTCTTTCTGAAAAGGGTATCCCCAATTTTGGCGCTGAAGGTTTCGGAGATCATAATCCCGTCCCTAACCCCTTTAAGCCTGTGCTGCATTTTGTCAGTTCCATCCCACAACCCCTTGAGGAAGGCATTCTCTTTGATTGTGTCGAAATTTTTTCGAGGGACTGGGAACTGGAGCATTTGTCATCAGAACGCAGGGCTTGTGGTTCATGCGGGTTATGACCTTAAAGGGCCTGATTGCCGTCAAGTTGATGTGTTGGATGGCTCCATTCGCCGTGAACTAGTCGCACTTGCTTTGAGGCGCGTGGTTCGGGAATGGCATGCGGGTGTGCCCTGCGTGTCCTTTGGAACTTTGAGGAGGCCTCGTGTGCGCAGCCGCGCCGAACCTGCTGGGTTCCAACCTGACGATTCGTTCACACGAATGCACAACAGCATGGCTCGACGGGTCGCTTTTGTTTTCTGCATTGCGGTTCAGTTTGGCCAGTTCATTTCGGTTGAACAGCCTGCCGGCACTTCGCTGTACCACTTGCACTGTTACCGTGTGCTTGTGACCCTCGGCTGCGTGGTCAGCACATTCTGCTTTTGCAGCTTTGGCTCTCCGTGCTTGAAACGGTCCCGCTGGCTGCGCAACAAACCCTGGCTTTGCAGACTCGAGTGCTCTTGCGCCTGCGGCCGTGACCGGCGCTTCGAAGTACGAGGCACCTTCACTGCCGAAAGGTTGGCTGAGTTCGCAGCCCTAGCAAAGCCCTCTGTCGAAGCTGTGTACGGCTTGTGCCCGAAGCTTGGTCAGTCGGTTGCCGAGTTCAGTGGTGCTTATCCACTTCGTTTGGCGGCCTCCATGGCCAGTGGTTCGCTCGCCGCCTCTCGAGGCCACACAGAGAGGATGCCGCTGTCTGCACGCATCCGCGCAGCACGCTGGCTAGGCCTGGACAGTACTCACTTGCCCCCGGTGCATGAACCTGGACTTCCGACTTTTCCTGAGCGTGAATGGTTCGAAGACCCAGAGTGGATCAGCGAGATCTGCCGCAGCTTGCACTTTAGGGAGCTTTTTAGGTACTCGTTTAAGAAGCCTGGCCACATTAACGTTAATGAGTCCCGGGTTTGTAAGAGCTGGGTTAAGTCCCTCGCCCGTAAGGGGTCGCGCCTCCGCGCTGTAGGCCTTTTAGATTCCCGTGTGACCATTGGCGCCGCAGCCAAGGGTCGATCCAGCAGCTATGCCAGTAGCAGGGTTCTTCAAGGGTCCCTAGGGTATGTTTTAGGCTCTGGTTTGTATACGAGTTTGCTGCACTGCTACTCAGGTGACAACGTGGCCGACGGCCCGTCTCGAGGCTCAGCTGTGCCTTCGCCTTCTCGTAGCAAACCTCGCTGGCTCGAAAAGCTTCTTTTGGGCGACCCTGGAGACTTCGACAAAGTCGTGCTGGCTGCGAGGATCAAGAAGATTCCAGCACGTTGGTTGCGCTTCTTGTTGCTCTTGGGCGGCGACATCGAACGCAACCCCGGTCCTGCGCCTCCTCGGCGTCGAGGGCCTTTAGACCTGGCTGCTGGTTTCGCTCCCAGCACAGCGAAGAAGATGGCGAAGAGCTTTGCTGCTTTTCTGCTACAGTCGCTTGTGCTCCGGAGGCTGTCTTCGAGAGCAGCGTGACCACTGCGACCGCCCTTCGGGCTTTTGGACTGCACCTGTACGAGAACGGTTTCCCTCGCTACTTGTATGTATATGCCATCACAGCTGTTCAGGACAAGTACCCGGCTCACCGCAACTTTCTGACCGAAGCTTGGCAGGTGGATAAAAAGTGGCAGCGCACTGAACCTGGTAGCTGTCGTCCTGTTCTACCTGTTGCTGCAGTTCGCGCGGGCATCGCCCTCGCGCTTCTTTAGGACTGGAAGTTGTGGGCTGGTCTCGTCATGATCGGCTTTCTGGCTATGCTGCATCCTGCGGAGCTGGTCGCCTTGACCCGTAAGGACTTGGTCTTCCCGGCTGACACGCTTGGGCACACGACGTCTCTTTTCGTGCACCTCAGAAACCCGAAGACTTCACGGTTCGCGCGCAGGCAGCATGGGCGCATCGATGACCCTTGTGCAATTCGTTTCCTTGAGTCGCTCTATGCAGGCCTAGGTTTGGAGCAAAAGCTGTGCCCGGCCTCTCTGCACAGTTTCCGTCGGCAGTGGGACGCCGTTTTGTCAAGACTGGGCATCCCATGCCGCGCCGCGCAGCAGGGTGCGACTTCCGGAGTCCTGCGTGGCTCGGGCGCCACGCGCTTTTACATCTGCACGGAGAATATTCCTTTGCTTGCCTGGCGTGGACGCTGGGCCCGGACAAAGACGTTGGAATATTACTTGCAAGAGGTTGCGGCCCAAGTTCTCTTCCTTGGTCTTTCAGAGGCCACTCGGTCCCGGATTCGAGTTCTGGACAAGGCCTCCGATGCCCTCGTGGAGTCTTTTTCAAGTGCTACGCAGTAGAGGAGGAGCGGAGGAAGATTTGGCTCTCAATTTCGAAAGAGAAGCACAAGGCCCAAAGGGCCTGGGGTAAGGGGACTAAAAGAACCCTTCACCCCGCTCGCCGCAGGTCATGGAACATGGCTCGGCGGTTCGGGAAGCTTCATTGGCAAAGCAGGCGGAACAAGTGAGATGCCTAGTATCTCATGCAGTGGAGTTTCGCGCGGCTAATGCTGCTCAAGTTTTCCCTCCCGGCCCGCCAAGGTTCGGAGGAAAATTTGGCTCTCAATTTCGAAAGAGGAGCACAAGGCCCAAAGGGCTTGGGGTAAGGGGACTAAAAGAACCCTTCACCCCGCTCGCCGCAGGTCATGGAACATGGCTCGGCGGCTCGGGAAGCTTCATTGGCAAAGCAGGCGGAACGAGTGAGATAGGGTTTAGGATTTAGGGTGCCAAATGGATCCATCCTGTTGGTATTGAAGCCCTTCGGCCAAGGACGCACCTCCTCCAGAGAGCACTGGCAAGCAATCCCCTTCCCAGGAAATGATCCTGTCCGGTTCAGGCTGTTTGCTTTCCCATCATCGGGGGTTCTCCTGGAAGCGGGACGGCTACGCAAACCTATCCCCAAAGATTGCCCTTCCGCAGCGTCAGCCAGGGCTGAGGATTAGCCTGAAAGCCGAATCCAACGCAACAGAGAAGGATGTGTCATAGATGTTCGTTGCTTAGTGCCTTGCTGCAGAGGAACGGGAGGGCTGGTGGGGATCAAGGGCCCCAAACCCTGAAACCTAAACTAAAACGTAAAACCCCAAACCCTAAACCCCAAGCCCTAAACCCTAAATCCCTAAACCCTAAGCCCTAAATCCCTGAACGCTAGACCCTTAAGCCTAAACCCTGCAAACTCTAATGCCCAAGCCGCATCCAGCGCACTTCCAGGTGGCCTCAAGCGCTTGGAACTTTGCTTTTTGGAAGGTCACTCAGCAGTTTTTCGCTTGGTGATATGAGCTATAGTTTAAACTCCTTACAGGGGGTATATAGGAGAGGATATAAAGGACAACTATAGGGGCTATTAAGGGGCATACTCGGAGTTTAGACTATTGCCCACAGGGTTTGGGAAGCCTGCGTAATTTCATTGCAACAGCCCAACATTGGCACCACCGCGCTCCCCCTATGCAGCCAACCCCCAAACTCTGAACCCTAAACCCTAATGCCATACACAAGCAGGCGGTCAGAGAAAAAGGGTCCAGCAACTTGGTCGAGTCAAAAAACCTCAAACGTTTTGCCCTGAAATGAGCTATAGTCCAAACTCCTATTATGCCCCTTAGTAAGCCCTATACGTCACCATACATTTCTGCCTGTTTCTTTGGCCCGTGTTCGCTTGAGGCCAGAGTCTCCCCCTGAGCCTTCCGTGCCGCTCCAAGCTTCGTCCATACAGTACTGTTCATAGAAGGGCGATTGAGCCCTCTAAGGTTTTGACCCTTTGCTAGCTGATGCATTCAAACAGCCAAGCCTGCATAAGGTCTCCACAACATCTCTGTTAGAGAGGCTCGCATACGCTGCTCACGCACTTGCAAGATTCGAGTACGTAATGTGCGCTGGTTGGGCAAACACGAGGATAGGCAACAGCCTTGTTTGCTGTGTTGGCCTCAACCCTTGCGTGTGGACGCCTTAGGGTGACT